CTTATGCAAAATTTTAATTGAAACCTGATAGACAGGGAGCTGAGATGTGGCCTAAGTAGCTTAAAACGTGATTAGATGCTGTCTGAGACAAGCTCTGTTATAATGTGCCTTAATTAATTCAAGACTCATTTCAAGACCTAAGATTAAATAGACTCAGGTCTAGCTAACAATGTGTACTTTCTGTGATTAAGCTGCTGAGAATAATACCTTCAAATCAAATAGCCGAAGGACTTTAAACATAAAATTCTTTTGACAAGCTGAAAACATAAGTCAAATTTAAACAATATTTTGGAAACTCAGCTTTAGCTGCATTTGTGTGGCATTTGTGGGTGGTCGAGGCACAAAGAGGAGGTGTGGTAAAGTCATAGCCATTAGCTTACTTGTTCACATCTGTTTTTACATATGTATTACTTCACAGCTCCTTCTTAGCCCCTGGCCATGTCCTGAATAATGCTCCATTCCTCCGATTCGAATGCCGCAACTCGAATCTCCGAATGTAATTTAAATGTGTTTGTTTTGTATAAATCTGGTTGGCGTGTTTAACATTTATCCTTTCGCTTCTGCTCCTCTCGGTTCGTTCTCATTTTAATGTTCTTCACATTAGTAGCAAATTCTGCTTCATCCATACTGCGATATATGCAAATCTCGGTTGACAACCCTCGAGTGGAATTTTACCCACTCTCAGTTGGTTCGGTAAAACTTTTATGCGCTTCATCCGTTTGCAGTTGTTCTGGTTAATGCGTTTGACTTTTGTTTGCGGTTTACCCTATATGGTAAAATATACAGAGAGATAGGATAGGGTAGAAATTATGCAACTACTGAATAAATTGGCTTGAAAAATGATTTTTGTTGTACAAAAAATTGAAATGCTTTATTTAATCGTATGTTCCACCCATTTCTAAAACTAAGGGAACATTATTTAATATAAATTTTAATAGTTAACAATATCAAACAATTATGTTTACTCAAATTCATTAATTTAAATAAACATAACACATTTAGTTTTCTATCAAATATACAAAAATGAATATAAATATTATATGATACTAAAATATCAATAAATGTAATGGATTTAAATTCTTTATTATACATTTGATACATTTTTTATAAACAAATATAAAGTTTCGAAAAGAGCATCTAGACTCCTTCGAATCCCAACTTTCTTAACTATTACCCTGGCACGCTTAAGTGCGTATCATGACTTTATATTCGCACAAACAAATGTATACTTGTATGCCGCCAGAAAGTATGCCAGGGATTTCGGATTCAAACCGCTTAGCTTGTAAACATTCACAGAAGGCGCTTAATTTGTTTATGCCAAACAAACAGAACTGGTAAAATAATTAAGAGCTGTCGAATGATTTTTCCAAGAGCGAGCAATTTAATTGCGATGTAAATTGAATGCAATCTAATGCTTGGCTGACTCCACTGAAAAACTCTAATAAGATAAAAGATACGTAATTCGCATGTGGAAAAAGTAAATTATGCACATGACAAACTTTGCCCGGGGCCAACAATTTCGGGGCCAGAAACCGACTTGACACAAAAGTTGATGTCTCAAGTGTGAAGTGAAATATATGAGGACCCAGCAGATATGGGGGCGCTCCTCTCCACCCCACACATAAGTGCAGTTTCCGCTTTTGACTGTGCATATAAATCTTAAGACAGTTAACGACATCATATGGCAGAGTTGGCTCTCAAGGATGAACTTACAATGCATATGCCACAGGCGGAAGTCCCCCTCATCCTGAAAAATCCCCAGGGGGGGGTGCAACTTTGCTGCATAATTGTGAGGCGGAAGGCACGAAAAAGGACGGGCAAAATGGAACAGGACGAAACGAAACGAAACGAAACGAAAATGTTCGCCCAGCCAGTTGAGGAAACCAATTTGTGGTAATTGTCGTGAAATTGCAATTTCTGCAACTGTAATGGCCCACAGGAATGACAGAGAGATGCACCGAAAGTGTGAGCCAAAGAAGGACTTGGAGGCAGGCACTGACTTCGCTTAAATGAGATTCCTGTCATTTAGCGACAGTTTCCAGGCTCTGGTTTCTTTGCACCCGAAAAAGGTGAAAATGATAAACTGCCTAAGGACGAGTTTATGCGGAGATTGCACCGGCAGTGACATGGAATGGAAGTTATCCGGGTCAGGGGAGAAATTATTGAAATCTATCTGATATCCTAATTATACTGATAGACATTTCTATTGAATTTTTAGCCAAATTCTCGCCTAAGCTAAGACAATAGAACATATCAGTTCTTTTACTCAAGAAAAATTCTTCCACCATAATTTTTGACTTTTAAATAATTTAGCAATTTATACAGAAAATTTAAAATTAAAGCGAATTTTTAATAAAAGTCTTTAAAAAGGATACCATTATGTATGAACAACTCCATATCAAGAGCCTCCCATCCACTTTTGTTCCCCACCCGACGACAATAAAAGCAAATGCTTGAGGATTTTTTTATTTATTTTTCGCTGCCCTGGACTTTTCCCAACACGCTTTTATCAGCGCTGAAAAAATCACGTGCGCATAAAACTTTCCAATCAGCGATGCCAAATACAAAAGAGGTCCTTAACAAGCTGCTCGGCAGGAGGGAAAAGGCGGACTCAGGTGCCTGCAATAAGTTTTAACCTCCTTTTGTCATAGTCCCACTCCTTCGCGCCACTCGTATCTTCGCTGGCAAAGTTTCAACTTAAAATGGCAAATCCATACAATAAATATATAAAATGTTACTTCTTGTGTCACACCTGAACTAACCTCAAATAAATTTTGCTCATGTGCCGGACAGAGACCAAAATGTGGGTGAGGGTGCATGTGGACCTGGCGAGAAAGAACTATAACTTCGTATGTATTTAGCACACGGCAATGCCTCGCACCCTATTGGAAAAAGTTGCATCCACACCCACCCAGATAACACCCATTTTCACCGCCCCCCTGGCCGTGTTGAGTGCGTTCTGAGTGCCTTGGCTGGGGTGTCCGTGGATCACCTCTTCTGGTGCCAACTCCAGGCGAAAGCAACAATTTCCAATCACTTCCCTTGCAACGGCACAAAGTTCTATATTTATACTTTACGACACCCCTGCTCAAAACGGGGGCATTCCAAACAAAATGTCGTAGAACTGTCTTCACCCTAGAATACGACCTCAAAAGCCTATAATATAACACACAAATTTGTCACACAAATTTTTTACTTAATTTAAGCATTTAACTTTTAATCTATGATATTATTTGCAGATGTAAAAATTTATATTTGATGAAGACATTTTTATGCAGATTTTATGTGTATAATATTTGCTGAATCTGAAAGCTTTTTTTGTTAACAACTCAACTATTTTCAGCTAGTCATATTTAAATATTAAATAAAAGAACACAGGTATATTCGTAAATTCTTAAGATACAAAATATATAATTAAGTTGATAGGTTTATTAAATACTGTTAGAGTATTAAAGTTTATAGCACTTTTTGTCGTCAGTATTTCGATAGGTAAGTCTGAGCAAAAAGATAATTATTTACCGGTTAGATGACTTACATATATTTAACAACAGTTAAAGTCGTCGTAAAATTGCAAAGATTATTAGTATCCAATCATTAACATCACAAAATTGAGCAATCGACTTAGAAACGAATATAGAAAATTTAACTCGTTACCATCTTTCTGAACTACGGTATATAAAAGTGGTTTGAACGCACGCTACGTTTGTTTTTTGGAGAACGACTGAGCCCACTCTCCCCAAATGCTTATATGCATAGTATGTGTTGTCTCTGGGAAACTTTAAGCCAAGATAGGACAGTTTAAGGAATGTAGAGAGTGTGCTCGAAAGTGTTGCAGAATGAAAAGTTCCTCTTTCTTATTGCTGCAGTTGCACAGTTCTTGTTGCATTGATTCGATTTGTTGCGATTGCGTTTTTAGTCTTTTGCATGTGCGCTCCCAAAAAAGTTTGCAACATCCCCCCTTCACATGGGGACGAAGATAAAGCATAACAATTGCCATGCACAAAAAACTTTTCCCTTACAAATGTTCTTCTTTCGATGAGGGAAGAGATCTCAAATCTGTAGAAGGGCCGAAGGCGAATGGGATTTATTGGGCCAGTTTAAAGTTGTTCCCCTTTACCGGTCCCAGCTGCTTACAAAGTTGTCCTCTGATTAATTGCAACCCCATCGCACCCAGGTCCCCCTAAAAGAAATAGCCAAAAATATCACTCATAAGTTGTGTGTGCTACGATTTGGGTTAAATAACCACTGACCGATAGTTAAACGCAGCCATCACGCACTCTGTCGGCTCATTAACGGTTTTAAGCGCCAAGAGTTCATAAAAGAAGAAATCCGCACAAATATGTTCACCTGTTGTAGCTTAAAGCAAGGTCAGTGATGGCAAAATTTCCATTGATTTTCATAGAACTAGTCATTTATGGAATTGGTATTCAAATAAAATCTATATTATATTCAAATAATGGTTTTGTCAGGAAATTCTGCTTAAAAATCTTAACTAAAGATAAAAGTTTTAACGATTTTGACTACGATATTTGGCTTGAAAATAGCTGGGTTTTCATTCTTATATAACCTTGGCTACCCATAAGCCTTAAAGCCGATAAGCCACACACAGACATGTGTTCATTTCGCGCTTTTTAATGCCATTTTTATGGTGACCATTTCGTTAGCCACTTTCGTCAGTCAGTCAACCAGTCCGTCAGTCACTCAGTCCGTTAGTCAATCAGTCAGCCGCCCTGGTTGGGGCAAAATTTTTACAGCCCAGAATGAAGTACCGTGCGGGCCATAATAATAGTTCCTGCTTCATTGGCAACTCATTAAGTAAAGGCTTTTAAGCCAAATGTTTGCAGTTGGACGACCTCTTGACCCGCTCTCGCCCAACCACAATTGTTATTTATGTTAATTTTACCACTCTACTTCAGCCCGTATTTATTTTATGTTTATTTCTGCAAGCATTCGCTGAAAAACATTCTTTCATTTCGCATTTTTCGCTGATGTATTTGCAGAGCGTAAACTTTTCGTCGGCATGCTGAACAAAAAGTACACGGAGGCCGATGTGAGGCAGCTCTTCACGGGCCACGGAACCATCGAGGAGTGCACGGTGCTCCGGGATCAGGCCGGCCAGAGCAAGGGCTGCGCCTTCGTCACATTCGCCACTAAACAGAACGCCATCGGAGCTATCAAGGTCAGTCCACTGCTTATAGGTTAGCAAATAAAATTTAAATTCGAGATACGACAGGAATACTTATAAAAGTGAATACATTTTTGCTGTAAGAAACCCCCCGGCACTTGACCAGGAATTTTACTACTTTAACATTTTTTGTTGCACTCTTTCTAAAACCTTTATATGTAGTTGTTTTGAAAACTCTATTAGTTTTAACGGCACCTTCGATTTTAAATCATATTTCATATTCAAATGAAAAATATTGACAAAACATAAATTTCAAATTAAATGCATACTAGACAAATTTTTATAACAACAAAAAAATTATAAAAGGCAGTACCATTTAAAACTCAATGAACATTGACTGCAGCTTCAGATCGAGCCTTATTGGCTTGGGGTTTGGTTTTGAATGGGTGACTTGCAACAGTTTGGATTGCATTCGACGGTGTTCAGCCGTTAATAGAGTGGAATGATTTTGCAAACAATGCTTCCGATCTAAATCATTTGGTCGTGGCCAACCTTGGATGACAACACGATCGCCTTTAAGTCGCTTATCCTCTTTAAGGACCTTATTGTCTTTTGGTCCTGTGGCGAGTGTGGGAAAAACTGTCGCAATGATTAATTGCAGTGGCGGCAAGAGTCGCGCATATAAAACACGTTTCGCCATGGCACACATACCAAGGCAGATACAATCACACACACACACACACTGACACAGCTCCATTCCACAATGGCGACGGCAACAACAAAAAACCGCATGCAACTGCAAACAGGAAGCTGGAACGCAAGCAAGACGACGCCTCTGGCAGCGGAAGAAGTCAACGGTAATCCTGGCAACCGAATAACCTTCCACTCCACCTCCGCCGCCACGCCCACTTTCGAGCAAACACACACTCGCACACTAACAGAGACTAATGCAAGTTTTGTGCCGGAAACAGGCAAAATTACAAACTTCCGACAGCCAAACACAAACACATGCAAGGAGTGGGCGAAAGAGAGAGAAAAAGAGATAGAGAGTCCGAACATGCTGTCTCTGTTTTGTGTATATTGCACATAATTTGTCGCCTTTTGCAAGATGAATGTTGTTGTGGGCGGGTAGCCATTATAAAGCCATGCATGCATACTATGGCACATAGAAATACAGAAACAACAACTCACTCACAAACACCAAGAGAGTACGGTTTGAACACGCTATGAAGGTTCTCAAGGACCTCCCCAAGAGCAAACACATGTAGACTTACATTTCCTTTGGCAAAACTAAATGAAATTATTGTTTTGAACCCAATTGAATCCCATAGTAATTACTGATTATTAATACTATAAAATGGAACTTAACTAAGTCAAAGGTTTTACTTTACAATAAAACCCTATTAAATATTGGTGTTGTTGTTTTTTAAAAGACCAACTTAATATGTTTATCATAGCAGAATGCTTAACAATACTTTTTGAACTCTACGTATTTAATATTTATTATAAATTTTCTTATACACCCAAAATAATTTCTTAAAAAATTCTTTCCAAATATTTATTATATATAAAAAAGCATAAAAGGCTAACTTAACTTTAAAAGCATAATCCACGAAGTACTACAACATTGCGAGTTTCCGCTGTACCATAATCTGTGTGTGTGCCAGCGATTTTAATGCATTCGAAGTCAAATTACAAGATGCTAGGCACGCACACGCGAGAAATGAGCCGGGAACCAAGAGGTCCCGGGACCCAAGAGATATTAAACTGAAAAGGACCAAACGATTTGGATCGGCGCTCTGAAGCAAGGGTTGCAAAGTCATCACAATCTATGTACGCCTGAAAGTATGCAACGCCATCAAATGCAATCCAAGGCGATGCAAGTCGGCCATCAAAAAACGGAACCCCAAGCCAAAGACGCTCGAGCTGAGGCTGCTGGCAAAGTGTATTTAATATTAATGTGCCATGTTTATAGCCCTGCAATTTGTTCTCGGCTTCTGCTTCTACATTAAGTCTCTTTCTCTTTACAAAAACCCGAATGAAAGCAAAAAGTACGAGCAGGAACGAAGGGTGGCCAAATGATGATAGCATTTTTCAACGCATGCAGATTTTATTTTTCGCATTCGTCTCGCTAATTTGTCAAGTGGTTGGCGCTGAGTCCAGGCCAAGTAGGGAATGCGGTTCAGTCCCCAGTGCTCACTGTTGCCCAACGGGTCATTTAACCCGTTTTTGCTGCTCCGGGGAAGTGAGATGACGGGCCAAGCCGTGAAAAATGACTGAGAATCAGCAGAGGACTTGGAAAGGTTCTAAGTAAAGGAACAAAAACTGAAGTGCAAGAAGTGGAGTAAGAAAATATGCCCTCACTTAAACATTGTAGTATTACCATATTATCCAGAAAAGTAAATGGGTCCAAAATGAAACCGAAGTGCAAATCTGAAGATTCCCTGCTTACATCCCTTAATGTTTGTTCGCCAGTACCTGGGTTTCCTCCTTAAACAACAACCACAACAAATTCTATACAAACACACCATCCGCAAACTCTCGGCATTAAGAGGGCGAAAACAGTTTTGATAAGTTTTATGGCAACGGCAGGGCGGCTTACAGCATCAGAATAATGACGCGCATTTAAGCCGCCTCCCCATGTCCAGCCAGCCAACAAGCCACCCACTACCGCGTTAACCAACCACCCACGGATAGTTTTGCCCACACAGCCATTTGTCCGCTTAGGCGACTTAATTTACACCTTTCTGCTAAGCCCGAAAACAAACAAAATGGCGCGGGAACGGGGCTCTGAATCGAGCGAGGCTGGCAACTCTGGCAGCGTCACGAAAACCAGGCCAAACATTTAGCGAAGGCATTTAGGCTGCGGTCTGATGAGGCGCTGGCGGGCATCGGAGGGGTTTGGCAAGCCACTTTACTTATTTTCCGGTTTATGTCGACTTTATCATTGAAACTCAGCCGGGGCCGTGGCGACCCGGGCCGAAACTTCCGCTCAATTGTGGCGGCCGTGGCAACTCTGCCCTGCATCCACCATCCTGCATCCTGCCCGCCTGTATCGTGGCAGCCACCAGAAGTGCTCTTTAATTACATTGACTATAATTCTTGCGGCTCTGGCGCGACTTTTATGGCCGGCGCATTGTTTTGCCCCTCCCCACACTCCGCTCTCCACCCATCGCGACACTGCTGCTCATGGCTACAAAGTAATTAGGGAAATTTCCGAGTTTTTAAACAGGTCGCCATGGCTGTGCAGTTGGAAAAGAGTTTTCCGACGAGAGGGGCTATTGGGCTGCAACGCATTTTTTGGCTTTGCATGGCTTAAGAAAAGTTTTTCAATGACAAAGCCTGCGGACATAGGAAACAGACATATTGATAACATAACATGAACATGAAATAAAGGATACACCTTAGAAATGTATAGCAACATATCCTAATAAAAAAAAAACACCTTCGAGAATTCATCATCTCATGAATTTGATATACAATAAGTGATACTAATAAGAGATGTAATCGAATCAATCACTAAATTTACGTTTGTTTAACAATAAATTAGTTTTATTCAAAAGCCATTTTATGTAGTTGAAAAATAAAGTTTTCATGGAAAAGAACCGAACAATTATAACACAATAACCATTATTTTTTAAACAAAAAGTACTTTCATTTTATCGGTCAATAATTGTGTAAAAATTGTTAGGATGTCAATAAAAATTTATGTCTAAAATGGTGCTGTAGAAAGACATCACTGCGTATGAGCAATTAAAAAAAAAAACTGACATTTAATTTTATTGTCGAATTGTCGAATTAGTTGGTGTAGTTTTAATAAAATTATCTTGAAAAAAATTACTGACAATATTAAAGTATAATTATGATTCAATACTAGATAACATTATTTATTAATTTAGTAATAATCTTAATGTGAAGTGTTTCATAAAAGTCATGTACAGCTTAGTACTAGATTTTATTTAAGCATTTGTATTCATCTCAGTTTGTTTAATTTCGACATTCAGAGCTATAATTAAATTACCAATTTCAAAACTTTATCCTAATCCTTTTTTCGTATCTTTAATGTTTTCAGTCCCTCCACCAAAGTCAGACCATGGAGGGCTGTTCGGCTCCGCTGGTCGTGAAATTCGCGGACACGCAAAAGGAAAAAGACCAAAAGAAGATGCAGCAGATTCACGCCTTCTGCGGCATCAACACGCCGAGCGGTGCGTCTGCAGGCTCAGCCACACCCACCATAAATGCGGCCACGGCGCTGATAGCCGCCCCGCCCTCGGCGGGACGCTCCAATCCATCGATGACGGCCGCTCTGGCGGCAGTGCCGCAGGTCCAGCAAGCTGGCGCCGCAGCAGCTGCCCAAACGACCCTCGTTCCGATGAACTCCTCGACCGCTCTCAGTGCGTCCTTGACGCCCAATCTGCTGGCCAGCAACGCCCACCAGGGGGCGGCAGCAGCGGCGGCGGCGGCCGCCTATTTGGGGGCGGATCCAACCACGGCGGCCCACCTGCAGCTCTACCAGCAACTTCACGGATACGGACTGAGTCCGGCGCACTATCTGCCAGGTGAGTGGTTTCCTCGAGCTAAGTGCCCACCTAGGTTTATCTGTTAGGTCTCGCCAGTTACCACCCCCTCGAATTGTCTCCCAGTCCTCCACTTTAAAGAAATCAAAATAAATCCAATTTGATCAGTTTTAGTCACAGACACAGAATAAATCCCCAGCGTTGCATCTTCCGCTCTATATATCTCTCTATCTACCCGTAACTCTTCATTCTATTTGTCCTTGTTCCTGCACACATCTTCTCGTTGTGTACTCTGTGTGTTTTACTCATTGTTTATTTTACCTTTTTCCAATCTTGCACTTTATATGTGTTTTCTATTGCAACCCAACGGAAACTCGTTTCAAAATATTTTTATTTTATGCAAATTTAAATTTCTTATTGTTCTCATTCATTTCGATCTTTGATCAATCTTATATGCAGCTACTATGTGTGTGTGTTTTTCAGCAAATATTAAACTAATATTTTTAATAGCTTATAAACAAACATTGAATGAGCTGTTGGTTAATAATTATTTCACAATGGTTTTCTATGTGTGTCAAATGTAATTAATAACGTTATGCATACTGTATGTTAATATAGGTCACAAATAGATAAGCATATAACTTTAATAATTGAATATTTTTTTGTCTGTAAAGTGGGTTCTTTTCTCAAGCAAAAGTATTGATGTTCATAAATAGGACAGAATAAATAGCTAACTAATTAAAAATAATTTAAAAAACTAAGAAGAATTTAAAAAAGAATTAAAATTATGTTCGACTTAGTAAGTGAATACAGTTTATAACAAAATTATTTTTTAAAATATATGCAAGAAGAAAGAATTTAAAGTCATTTCGGTTAATAAAATAGCAAGAATTTGGGTATGTTCAAGATGGCCGTTCTTAATTTAAAGAATAACGACAACTACAGCCCTAAAGCCCAGTCCGTTTCAATCATTTGTTTTGACATTTAACGGAAAAGTTAAAATCACTTCCATTTTTTCCCAACTCCATTTATAACCTGCAGATTTTAGCTAGGCAAAAAAAGAAACGAATGAAAAGGAGAGCAAAGGAGAATCCAGCAACAACTGTCAAATAATTAATTTCAATTTAAGCAACAAAATTTGCATAAATGCTGGAAAGCAAAGTAAGCCGGAAAAGTTAGGGGAAAAAAAGGAAGTGCGGCCCAGCCCTTCTTTAGTCGTCTGATGAATAAAACAAAAACATTGTAATAGGATTAAAAGGTGGACAACGACAATGACGAGATGACACGATGATGAGGACGATGGCTCAGTCGGGCTCCCAGATTTCTGGCCAACACACACACACACACAGCCGCAGGTCCGTCACACGTACGCGGCGTCAATGTAAACGTGTTGCATATGCAACGCCGCTTCATTAGAATGACCGACGTGCCACGCCCACCCGCCTCCTGGCCAGTCTCGACGGGAACGTGGACATTTTGCGCATAACAAATCAAGCTTGAGAGCTTGAACAAACAGCAAAAGCCGGTGACGAGGGGAAAAATGAAATAAAAGGGGAATCACAGACAACCAAATGTTGAGCGGCGCGTGATGTAATCGCACAAAGCGCAAAAAATCTGCCACTGAAATGGGGATTTTCGTGTAGATGAGATGCTCTAACAAAAAAAGAGTTTTATCTTATAAAAAATACAATTTATTTGCAAAAATAAATAAATATATATTAATATCTTTACTATGCCAAAAGTATCATCATTTACAAAGGCTGTCAAATTACCATAATTACCAATTATTTGAAAATCATTTACTTAATGTTCAATACTAAACTTAATACATATATTGAATATGTTAGTTAAATTTAATTCCCAGCAATCCAAATTTAGGGTAAATAGCAAATAGTATATTTTATTAAGCTTGCGTGGTTGTGGCGCTAATTAAACCTTGACATAAAATGTATTAAGAAAGAAATTATCGATAGTAGCTATCCAAGCAAGCCAAATGGCATCCTTAAGCTCACATATCCGACCAAGAAACAGGACATGCGAAAGGGAATCGGACAGACGAGATGCGAGAAAAGAAGGTGGAGGCGGTGGTCACCTGACAGCAGCAACTGCAAACGGACAGTGAGGGCAACTGTTGGGCAGTTAGGGGAACTTAGAGCGACGACGTATGCCACTTGAATAACAAATGACGTTTTTAAATGCCAGTTCCAGAGGGCAGCCGTTAGGCGAACGGGGCAGAAAGGACTCGAGGACTCTGAACTGTGATGGCCAGCAAATGTATGGAACGTGTCCTCTGCACTCCTTCGATTCCTTTATTTTTTCTTTACTTTAGTGCTGAATGAAACCGTTAAGTGGATGTGGCAGACCTGTAAACGTTTGCTGATTTGACCAATTTCGGGGAACCAGAGATGACAGAAACACATTATTTAATTGTAGTTTTCTAAGAGCGGGCCAATTGTTGAACAGTCAGCTTTGGATTTACCCTTCCATTAGGGAGAAAATAGAGCATAATCTTATTTTCAGTTAAACTCTGATTATTTTCTGGTAGTAGAGTAAGACTTAAAGTCTTGAAAAATACTTATCTACTTATGAATGAAAATAAAACGGAATCCGCAAAGGAATAACCAAAAGAGAACGTCTTTGTCTACCATTTTGTCCGTTATTCTTTGCCCATTTCCGACTTGAAATTTTTATAAGTCTTGCCAAAGGCCCCAAGGGCAAAAGGCACCATCAAAGGTGGCCAACAAGAAAGGGGCCTCATATATATGGTGCATGGTGAGGGACTGCCCCAATAGCCGAAGGCTTGCCATGTAAACAAATGCAATTCCAATGTGGCAACAGCAACAACCTGAAGTTGTCCGCAGGTGAGAACACTTAAAGTTTTATTATACCCACAAAAAGGGGGCCACCTGAGGGGGCGTGGCAGCCAAGGATAGCTAAACTATATACACACACAAACACACACATAGAACCATACACTGGCAGCTCATTCAAAGCGAGGAAGCAATTTGAAAAATATTCCTTAAATATGCTAGACAATGCCCGGCTCCTTATGTGAATGTCTGTGCTCATCTGTCCCCCTCGCACACATACCACACCTGCCTGCTCTCTTTCTCTTTCTGTCTCTGTGTGTTCTTAGGATTCCTGTTTTGTGTAGAACAGCTTTCAATCTTTTGCCAGCGCCGCCAAGAATGCAATATAAAAGTATGATAAAAACCGGAAACGGGAAACGGAGCAATTTTCATTTCCTGTTTCCTTCCGCCAGCGTTCTTAGATTTTTAATTACTTTATGCAATTAATTTACATAATTTTATATAGTTTATGTCTAACTGCATTCAATTGATCTGATCTAATGCCTATGCGTTTGTATCTTTGATTTTACGTATTTTTGCATCCCTGTTCTTTAATTTGAGTTTTATTTAAGTTTTTATCCTTTATTTATATTTTTTGTTTTGGTCACTTTATCATTTTAGAATCCTCCTTATTTATTTATTTATTTAAATTAAATCGAAGGTTAAAATTAAATTATATTATTTCACTTCCGTAATAAAATGTACTTCCTTTAATTAAACTTTCATTTTTTGAACAATTTAAAAATTATCCAATCATTTTGAAAAGTAACTTCTTTTATTACTTTTATTTTATTTTATTTTATTTTATTTTATTTTAGTTTAATTTATTTTATTTTTCTCTTTCATTTTATGTTTCCCATTTTCAATTTGTTTTTGTTTTTTTCCCTTCCCCTCTTTGTTTATTTTCATGTTTCGTTATTTTTAAAATTTTTATTTGATTTCATTTGTATGTATAAAATTACCGAATCGAAACCGAAAAAACCAAAACAAAAAACTTAAATCGAAATTAATTTTTTTATAATTTTTTGTATATGTAAATAATCCAATTGGGTGTGTGTTTTCTTCTATGTTTTTTATATATAAATATTCGTTGAACATTATTTGGTATGTCTATGATTGACTCTGTGGTCATGTACAAAAAAAACAAAACAATCAATCAACTCAATCAACCAACTCAACCAAAACCTTAAACCATAAAACCAACCAACTCAAACTGTACAAACAAAACAAAAAATAACTATGGAAAATCAGGACTAAATTTCCACCACCCACCGGAAAACAGTGCCCACCACAGCCAGCACGGTCCCACCGCCGCATCAGCAGCATCTCTATCGGCTGCAGCAGTCGTCGCTGCCGCAGCAGCATCTCACCCACTTGGCAACGGCGGCGCACCACCACCCACACCACCCACAAGCGGTGGCAGCGGCGGCGGCAGCGGCGGCAGCGGCGGGATCCCTGCCACCGGGCATGCTGCTGGCGCTGGACTGCTCGCCGCTCCATCCATGTCTATGCAGAATCTGGTAACCCTGCTAGCCACGCCCTCCGCCCACCACCAGCTGACCCTCGCCAACGCCACCGCCCATCACCACAGCAGCAGCAGCCCCAACAACAACAGCCAGAGCAACCTTCACCACCAACGACTGGCCTACGCCGCACCACCCCCCACGGCGACCGCCTACAGCATGGGTCAGCTAATGGGGCACACGGCCACGCCCACTCAGCAGGGGGGCGGCGGCCAAACGCTGACCTTAAATGCGCTGTGTAAGTAGATCTTCTCAATTCGATTTAATTCAAAAGATTAGAGCTCTTGGTTCGTACTTTAAAATTGGTTTAAAATTGCCTAAAAACAGTAAACTCGTCAAAAAATTGGTAGTCCTTAGAGCGTTTTCTTTAACTACCAAAATCGATTTTTAAATTACTTTTAACAAAGAATTGTTGTACAAGTTGTAATTGTAGCGGTAAACCTATAATACATTCAATTGTAAATAACGCCATTTCAAAATATTTTATTTATTCTTTATTTATTATTATATCAGAAAAGTAAAACAAATAATTTTTATACATTTTTAGATATTAGAAAATCGTTTAACTTTTTGAGCTCTAGGATACCAATGTGAATATATATCCATAAATTTGTGTGGGTGGTTGTGTTCTACTTTTGTATGCGTATTTTGTACATTTGTTCGTGTTCTTTTGTTTCGTTTTGTATTGTAACCAAAAACAGAGTTTTACCTCTGGCACTTAATCACACTAACTACTAATTATACAATCCTCAATAATATAACCCTTTTGCCAACTGCATGAGCCTACAACATCGCCGCGCCAAGACATATCCTATATTATTCCTAATTACTAAAACTACCCAAAACCCTTTTTTTAGCTTGTTTAGATAAAGCTTGTCAATTCATTTTAAATAACTTTTAAAGGTTTTTATAGTTACAACTTTAGCAGCAAAGTTTCGTGCTTAACAGAAATATATTAAATGTCAAATAGAATATTAAAATAAAAGAACAAAAATCTATAATGAAACACTCTGCGAAATATTATTTACCTATATCACTACCCAGCAGTTGATTAAAAATTGTGTGCCGGCGAGTTACACTCGTGAACATTTCTAATTTCAAAATGTCCTTTTCCCTTTTATTGTTTGTATTTTTACACTCTGTTACCCCTGTCAATAAAAAAAATTACTTTTAACAAACAAACGGAAGCTAAATTGATAAAAACATAAAAATGCCAGAAAACCATAGAACGCCGAAAGAGAATCAAATCCGTGTTACTGACAGCAACAAATATATGGGATTCCATACAATATGTTCCTGATTGCTTTGAAAAAAACGAAATATTAATATAACAACATAAAAGCAGAAAAAATGGGAACAGCTTGATAGGGAAAATTTCGCAAAATCAAGAACAATTTGGATAGCATAGGAATGGGCTTCACATGTACCATGGATCAAGGTATTTTATATTAAATACCAAAATATAATCAAAATAAGATAAAGCAATATAGTATTAGAGACATAACAAAAATAAATTTAATATTACAAAAATTTAGGCACAAATGTTGAACCAAAATAATAAAACCACTTACAAAAAAGGAAGGACTGAAATGAACTCAGTATTTAAACCCAATTGTTCACAATTTCATACATTTTTTCAATGTTCCCATGCCCTTAAAAGAAAAAAGTAAGCACAGGAAGTTAAGTAATAAATTTGTGCATATTTTGCTTTTCAATTAGCAACTTTTATGGATACCACAAGCGTTAAAATTAAATTGGTTCTAAAACTTCCACTCACAAAGTAGTAAGCAAAACAAATTCAAATATATAATTTTCATTCCCAAAAAAAAAAACTCCCGCACGAAATGCAATAAAAGAAAATTAAAAAAACAAAAGAAAGTTATAAATTTACAGTAGATAATGCAAAATGAAACAAACAAATTTTGGGTGATGAACAAAGCGAACTGCAGGGGGCGCCACGGAAATTTTCGGCTGGCAGGCACAATTAAAAAACTGACGCCACGCTGGGAGACCCGAACAACAAAGGCTAACAAATTTTTTCGTGATACACAAACAAAAGGGAACAAATCAAAATAAAATTTAATAATGAAAGGACGAGGGCCACAAAAAATGATAAAAGAAAGAATAAAATAGCTGAGCACAAAGTGTGAAAAGGAGACTAAAAATAATAATAAATAAATAAAGGGGAGAAATCTCATACGAGTAAACTCATCTTGGGTCCGTTTATTGTTCAGATATGGTTCTTGTGTATGTTTGAATATATATATATATTTCTCTGCGTGTGTCTCTGTGTCCTACTGTGTGTGTGTTTGTCCTTGTCCCGTTTGTGAGTGTTTGCTCTTGGGGAATTTTTTGTATGGAAAAACGAAATTGAGAACAAATTTATAATTATTTTATAATTTCTTTCAGTTGATAAAAATGTATTTTTGAAGACAATAATCTAAATTTCCACGTCCAATATTTTAGGGCATCCCAATGCAGCAGACCCCTATGCATCCTCACTAAGTGGACTGACAAATGGCACACCCTTCGGAGCCGCATCCCAACCTCTGACTGCCAGCGCCCTTCAAGCTGCAGCTGCGGGCGTGGCTGGCAAACAGATCGAGGGTAATAATATAAATAATAATTACTAGTATTACCATATTGTTTTAGATCAATAAGGTCAATAAAGTAAAACTATCGACTTGCCGTTGAGAGGCCTCAAAAATAAAACCTAAAATGTTGTTCAAATTAAAAAAATATATAAAAACTAATATATATTTTTTACATATTTATAGTAATTTAAAGCTTTTTCAAAAAAAATAAGTTTTATACAAAATAAAATAAAAACAGACTTTAACAATTCACAACTTTTTCAAAACAAAACTACATGATAAATTTAAAAAATTGGTTTTAGTCTAGTACAACGTCAAACATTTTCTTTCAAATTCGTTTTTACACTTATTAAAAATGTGTTGACGAAAAATAATGAGAATTGTATTGATTGGACCTCAGGTCAATTTTAATATCAAACTTAAATAGGCCAGTTGAAAAATTTAATTTATATTTCTTATGTTCCTACTAAACATTATTTCGTCTTCCCAACCAGGTCCCGATGGCAGCAATTTATTCATTTACCACTTACCTCAGGAGTTCATTGACACGGATCTCGCGTCGACGTTTCTGCCCTTCGGCAATGTCCTGTCGGCCAAGGTGTTCATCGATAAGCAGACCAACCTGTCGAAGTGCTTCGGTTTTGTGTCCTACGACAATCCACATTCGGCCAACGCGGCCATTCAGGCGATGCATGGCTTTCAAATCGGCACCAAGCGGCTGAAGGTCCAATTAAAACGTTCCAGGGATGCGGCCAAGCCGTACTAGGCAGCTTTATGGGCTGACATGGCTTAAATGGGCGTGGCCAAGGCACCCAGCACACCAGAAAATTCACAAACAATGGATGAAACTAGTTTATACAATTGTGCCTTTTAAGAAACGTTCTGAAACCAAAGGACCAATTACAAAAATATATCTATTAAGTTAACACAAAACTAAAGATAAATAGAATGCTTACAAATAATGTTCTCGAGTGCACAAAAACGAACCGCAAAAATCAACCCTACCAAAGAAGTAGCTTAAAAGTTGCATCCTTCTTGTAATCACACTTGCTGAATACCATCAACCATTTTCATAAAATCTATCTAACTATTCAACGTGGTCGGCAAACAAATCCTACAAATAAAATAAAACAAAACCAATATAAAATACAGAAATTTTAAGCTGCGATGTGGCGCCAAAGTATTTTTCAAAGCCAAATAGTTAAGCAAAGAAAAGGGAAAAACAAACATCAACACAGAAGAGAAAATTTAATTTTTGGCAATAATAAAAGGATAAAATTTAGATAATTAAAGTTTAGTTAAAAGTTAAGGGAATAAATCTACCTATAAATAAATTGTAGTAGTGAGCAAACATTCGAAATTACGTTCGTAGTGAGAAACATTCAAAGGGATAGCTAAAAATATTAAAAATACAAGTATACATTTAAAAAAATGTTTAAAAACTTTTTGAAAAGCTGAAACCGATTAACTAATTGCTCTAGCTAAAAGGCAATGAAGCTGATAACTTAATAATTGTCAGGCAAATTATCACTTCTGGTTTTGATTCCTTATCCTTACTTCAAAACTATTTTATATTCACTAATAGTTTTAAACTATAAACTTAACGCAAAAGTAAATTTTGTCAAATTTGTACTTAAAATGCACTTGATGTTAGAGGGCAAAATTTAATTTAAAAAAAGTCAGACAATTTAAAATGTAATCAATTTAGCCTGTATTTTAATTTAACATTTTACTGGAAGGTGTAAAAATGAACCCAATCGAGTGGTTTCAAAGATATACAAATAAACTATGAAAAATTTAAAAATATATAATCATTGTTGTCTTACATTGCTGGGATTGATGTGAGTTTTTCAGTTTAAAACGTGATAAGTTAAATCATATTATTTATTATTTTGAGGTAAAAAAGTAAAGGCTGCATTCAGCTAAGACCCTGGAATCGCCTTAAGGAAAGTCAGTATCCATCCTTGAGTCATTTGAGTCCTCCAAAGAACCCCGAGACGAGCTCGTTGAGAGGGATCTTATCACATTTATGCTATTGTACATGCATTCTTTATGCGCCAACTGACAACTCAACTGGCGGTGATAGCTGCGGACCAGAAGGTCAGGATGAGGGAGTGGGTGAGGGTGTGGGCCGGGAATCCAACAACGACTGCCATAAATCAAAAGCATCCTGCGCTGTTTGCTCCTCCCCGCCCAGTCCCGCCCCTCCACTTCACTGCATGGCATCACACTCCATTCCTTCTCTTGCTGCAATTCAAATGTTGGCGTTAACGCATGAAATATGCATATGCTCGGAGTCGCCGAATGTGCAGCTGTTGTCTGGATCTTGCTTTTTTCACGTTCTACCTGAGAGCAGAGCGCCTACTATGGATTAAACAAGAGTGGCTACATAAACCATTAAAGTGCTACGGAAATGGCCAGCGAACACATTTATATTTTTAAAAATTAAAAAAAGGCCATATTTTAGTTATTTTAAATTGTAAGCGGCATCGAATTGATGCAGAATGTCAACTTCGAGATAAAAGACCACTACAGCTGTACTATATAAGATTGCAAATATATATATTTGTTATTAAGAACCAATACAGTGCATCCGATCTTAAAAGACTAAAAATAGCCAGCTTTCACAAAAGTTTACTACCCTTTACCTTTGCCTTGGTCCAAGTTATCATTTTTTAAACTTCAAAATACGTGCCTGTCGTTGGGGTCAGCTCACAACATTATTCAGTCTGCCCTGGAGCGTGCAACTTGAAATATTATTATTTTTCCTTGTGAAAAAGAACAGCCAACAAATTCAAGTTTCTGCTTAAAATGGCCCAGCAGGGCCAGGGCGAGAGACCCGCGGGAGGACCGCCAAGACCTGCTCCGCCCCGCCCACCGAAAACGACACCGCCCCGTGGAACGACAGCGGCGTCGACTCCGGGCGAAGTGACTCCGGCTCGAGGACCACCGCCCCCACCAGCAACAAAGCGCGTCTCTATTGGTATTGGAGCGGAGAAGCCGGCTTCCAGCAGAGCCACCCGTACTATTCCACCTCCTGCAACGGTTCCTGGTGGACTACCGTCGACATCTCACTGGAAACCTGTAAAGGATTCCGGTCCCCCATCACCCCAAAGGGCAAGTCTTCGGGACTCTGGTCCATCGTCATCGCCGGGAAAAGCAGCAAAAGATTCCGGTACAGCAACAGCGCCAAGGACAAGTATTCAGGATTCCGGTCCGGCGACATCATATCCCGGGACAAGTGTTCAAGATTCGGCTGCTCGTCGATCCAGTTCTCTTGATCCCGGAACTCAACGATCAAGTGTTCAGATATCCATGTCGACGACATCTCCACGTAAGAGTACTGGCGATGCCCGCATATCTTTTCAGGAAGCTGCACCATCGACATCTGCAAAAACGTTTAAGCTGGCTGCTTCCGATCCCGGTTCGGCAAAGCCTTCATTGAGGGAAAAACTTGCCGCATTTGGAAAGAAGAAGAAAGAAGAGAGACCGAGACCGAGTACTACGTCCTCGACCCGTGAGCATAGGATTCCTTCGATAAACGGACCCTCAGCATTACAAAACAGAGCCAAAACGAATCGCATCCTCTACACCACCGATGAAGAGGTGCGCGAAGCCCTCGTGGAGTTCTCCGTGTTCATCATTTTCCTTATCCTAACTTCGCTGGGTAAGTATAGCAACTAAGTCCGGCATAAAAAACGGTATTTCCATTCTTCGTAGTATTAAAAAAAAACAAATAATTAATGTATACTGAAAAGTAAGGAATGCATAATTAACTTACCTTTTTATTATATTCATTCACACTTTTATTACCTTTAAGTTTTTGAATGTCTTAGCTTTGGACAGTTTTTTCAGCCAACCAAGTTCAAAATTATCAAGCCACACTCAAATAGTTTTAAAATTTATTATTTTATTTTAAATCATTATAACTTTTATTATTTTAAAAGTTATTAGCATACATTTGGTCTAAGCTGTTAGTAATGTTTTCTATGGAATTATTTTGTTTATCAAAGTGTACAATAAGAAATCCACTTACTGGTTGCTGCTAACAAAGACTAATACCCCTTGTATCCTACAGTCGTTTTGTCGGTTCGTCACTCATACATGTTCTATTTCAACGACACGATGAAGAAACTTTTTACCACCCGGGAACTGGTCGTGGCACCCTCGGTCACGGTTTGTTTCGAAAAGCTGATAACCGTCCCGGATTGGTGGGACTACCTGATCTACAACTTTCTGATAACGCTCCACGGCGATATGACTTTTGTTGACGGCCATTCAACGGCCAACAGTACGAACAAAGAAAAACCGACCCAAGAGCCTACGATTCCCGAAGACAATGAGGAATCGCCCGAGGAATCGGACGAGTTGCCGCCCGAGGAGTCGCCTGAAATCTCTGACTCCGAACCGGACAGGTTGCAGGAGGGTTTCCAATATCCCGGTAATCCTGGCGACGACTGGGAGGCGGGAGGCCGAGCGATCCGACAGGCGGACGGCAGCGAAGACAGTGAGGAAACCGACGAAACACTGGGATCAAATATCAAAAACAATGTGACCTCACATCATCTGGAGGTAAATGACATTTGTAATATTCAAGGTTACATGCGTCATATTGATGTAAATTAATTAAATTATAATTAATTATAAAAATCTGAGCATTGACACCAGCCCATCTCAAAAAAACAACTTAAATCATTTATCAATCCGAGAAACGGAGTTTGAATGATGCCAAGTCCTTACTTTTCAGGGCCGTGTATTTCTATACGAGAACTTGCTCCTGGGTCCGCCACGCCTCCGGCAAATCAGAGTGCGGAAGGAGAGCTGCTACGTGAACGACGCCTTCATACGCTACTTCAACACGTGCTATGCCGCATATTCCAGCGGAGCGGAGGATCGTACGGCCATTTACAAAGGTACGCGGTACCATACGATGAACGACCTTGACTCCACGCCCATCTGGACAGTACTGGCTTTCTACCGCACCGGCGGTTACACCGTGGACTTGGACTATGACAAGGAGAAAAACCTGAAGACCATCACAGATCTGAAGAACATTCACTGGTTAGACCGGGGATCGAGACTAAGTCTGATAGAGTTCAATTTGTACAACGAAAACACGGACATCTTTCAAAGCGTCAAGTGGGTTGAGAGCTATGCGTTTCTAACTATTTCAATATTTTCTATTTTGGTTACTATTTCCAGGTTGATTGCGGAGATTCCGCCAACGGGCGGTGTGATACCACAGGCTCATCTGCAAACTGTGAAAGAGTACTCCTTTTTCACGGACCGCAGCATGGTTATGACTGTGATCTACATTTTCTGGTACATTATGATTATTTACTATACCATCCAAGAAGTCTTTGAACTTCGAAAAGCCGGATTTAAAAATTACTTTTTCTCGATGTTAAATATTCTCGATTGCGTTATATTGCTGGTAAGGGTTTATGCTATGTCCTATTACCTTTTTATATGAATGCATGATATATGAATGAGCTTAATCCTTTTCAACTATATACTATTTATGATTTGATACATGTATCATTTTTCCAGGGCTGTTACCTTGCTTTAGTATACAACGTTTGGCACACCTTTTGGGTTCAGTCAATCACTGCCAGGGCCCGCGTCGAATTGACTTATCAAAGTCTTGATGTGCTTTGTTTCTGGAATATAATTTATGTGGATATGATGGCCATTTTGGCCTTTCTCGTGTGGATAAAAATATTCAAGTTCATTAGTTTCAACAAAACACTCGTGCAGTTTACGACCACACTGAAAAGGGTTTGTTTTACCTTTCAAGAAAAGTTGTAAAGGCTATTGCTGATCTGTAAATTTTCAATTTGTAGTGCTCCAAAGACTTAGCTGGCTTCAGTTTAATGTTTGGAATCGTATTTCTCGCCTATGCCCAGCTGGGTCTTCTTTTATTCGGCACCAAGCACCCAGACTTTCGTAATTTCATTACATCCATTCTGACCATGATAAGGATGATTTTGGGCGACTTTCAGTATAACCTCATTGAGCAAGCCAACCGAGTTCTGGGTCCCATTTATTTCCTCACCTACATCCTGCTTGTGTTCTTCATTTTGTTGGTAAGTTAAATTATGTATTGTAAGCCTTCTATCTTATTTGGAATTTCTTTTCATATTATACGCTATAAGAATAATAATTACATAAAAATTGTTCATAATGTCTCCTTACATATTATTTTTCTTGCTCAAAAGAAAAAACTATCAATCTTAAGCTTAGTAAGCTTTCATTATTTTACCTGTGTTACATAACTATATTAGGCTAATTAAAATTTTGGAATATATTTCGACAAAACCAATATCACATTTCTAGCCCTAACTAATTTTCACCACAATTTAATTATGGTATCGATCTAATATTTCTCTTTGGAATGCCTTACACTCTTTTATACTGGCCTTATTTAGAACATGTTTCTGGCCATCATCATGGAGACCTATAACACGGTGAAAAGCGAAATCACCCAGGGCCGCAGTCACTTGGGCTCCTATATCTATAAGAAACTTACGGGAATGCTTTACTGGATAACCCACTGTGGACGGAAGCGTCGAAATCAACCTCCGGCCACAGAGACCGAAGAAAAGGAGGCGGAGCAGGATGCCGATGCTGCCCAGGACGAACCCCAGGAGTTGCGAAAGAATCTGACGCCAGCAGAGTAATTCTCTCTTGTTCTTTCTTTGAATTTATTAAAAACTATTTTTTTAGGGCACGCTACTTTCAGGATATTCCACCAGAACAAAACCAAGATATGGTTCGGTAAGAGTCTGAAATTATGTTATATGGAAAGTTTTTAACCGCTTCCCTTTTAGACTTAACAATCGTGTGGGTCTGCTGGAAGAAATTTTGGAAAAGTTAATCACCAATATGGACGATATTCTCAAACGTGTTGAGAAGGAGCGCAATACAAAAAAGAAGTAGAGATATTTATTTCCATTGTGTTTATAACTATCTTAACTTTATTCTGTTACTTAATGTCATTTGAGTTAGTGAGAAATTGCATAACACCTCAGTTGAATAAATTATTATAAAATCTTTGTGTTTATAACTTTCTCAATTTTATTCTGTTACTTAATGTCATTTGAGTTAGTAAGAGTTTACATAACACATCACTTGAACAAATTATTATAAAATCTATTAAATAAACATTTAGCAAAACTGAAATTTGCTACCGTTTATATAAGTGCACACACATTTTACCGTGCAAACAATCAAATAAGCGAAAATTAATTAACTTCAACTCCAGCAACCCGAAACTAAAGCAAACCGACAAAACCGCCAGAACCAAGCGCTAATCGCTGCCAAATCTGTGCCTGCTTTGTATTCGTTACCCTCTATGCCACACAGCCGTGCAACTTCACACCACCCCATCTATTTCACTATTTGGCAACAAAGGCATAATGAAATTACAAACACAAGCGGAAGAAAGAACGGTGAACAAAGCAGCCAAAAGTTGAACTATGCGTTTGGTCGAGAAGTACGCTTTATTGACTTCTAAAAACCAAAACTGTAAATAATATTCGTTGCCTAAGCAAAATTTGTATATAAAAGAAGTATTTCAAATCTACTTACTATTTAGCTAATGCACAAAATCTTAAATGGAAATTCTAAGTAAAATTACAATTATAAACAAGGAATACATTCACAGGAAATTAAAACTAAAATGAAGTTATGAAAAAATCCAACGTGCTGACGGTTAATAAAAGCAGATAACAAAACTCACCTGTGATGCAGTAAAAATGACATTTTTAAAAACAAAACTTATCCAAACAAATGATCTCTTAATTCCCTTGCAGGAGGTTTTATAATTTTGGTCAGAAGTTTGAAACTCAGTGAAGTTGACTTCGACATTTTACTAAGATTAAAAGTCTGTGTGCTTTGATTAAAAATAAAACGAAGTCTGCGCGACCTAGTTGAAAGCAAATTAATCTGCTTTTACAGAATAGATACAAATTATGGTCTTAAGATATACATTTTAATGGAAAGTTGTTAAGCTAACAATAAAAGATCCAAGCACCTTAGGGATCTTTTTAAAATACCCAACTGTTAATGACCGCCAGCTTCTTTTAAGTGTTAAATCACAATGAATTCGAATACATTACCATTTGTAAACGGCTCAAATTTGTTAAACGAACGAGCGATACAGTTATATAAAGCTCAATTTATACAGACATTTCCACATGTATATGCCTCGCATTGTTTCGCTTTTGTAAATACAAATTGAAAAGTTGCAATCATTGCACCGGTCAAAACAAATACACATAGGTTGGCCATATTGTCGGGGATGGGAGAATAAACCATTCAACAGACAGGTGGTGGAGGAACTCTTGAAAAGGTTTGAATGGCCGTCCAATCCAGACCAGAGGAATCACGGATTAAGAGCACAGGAGCCATAATTACTGATATGCTTTTTACTCACACCCCAATGAGCTCAAAACCGTTTACATCCTTTATTCGCAGAACGGTTCTGACGATGATAATGGCAGCTCTGCTTGTAAAATTCAAATATATCGGCCCCTTTTGCATACAATGGGCTCGCAACCCAAACAACAGTGACGTCAATCAGTAATGATATTTAAGAGTTAACACTCCAATAAAATTAACAGCTTACAATAACATACATTTGCTAAAATATTTTATGTAATTATAGATTTAATGTTGTATTTAGTGCACAAAGATTCGCAAGTTCCCACTGTAGGAAAGCAATGAACTGTTCAAACGCCAATAATAGTACTTAATTGTTTTCTGCAAGCAAGCGAAATATTTAAACGAAAATATATGCAGATGGCAAGTTCACTTTTCGTTATTAAACGCACTATGCACTTTAAATAAAAGAGCACAAGAACCCGATCTCATTTAATCTTCTTATCAATTATTTGTTATTAAGTTCTTTTTCACTAATATATATAGAACTTAGTTAAAAGCAAAAAAAGCTATCCGAAAAGTCAATAAGCAATTATAGCCCGTGGATTTGTTTAACAAAAGAAGAGCAGGCAATTAAGTCAACCATAAGTTGACCACAATTAATTACCTCAATGCATAGTATGGAAGAAATAATTAACTAGTTGTTTTTTAATGCAGAGCGAACTAATGAGGCATATAATGCCTATCAAGCACTTTATGCCCATATTCAATTAAATCAGTGGAATCCCGTCGAATAGTTGCACTTCAGCCTGAAAATATACAGCACTTTTGTGAAGGCTTTAAGAGCTTTCGGTGGAATCGGTTAATTATTTAATTTATTCAGAATAAATCAAGGCACAATCAAGATGGTGGCCAAATTTAGTTGGGTTAAAACTTTATATTAAGAGACTTTCATATTCATTTTTTGTTTTTACAACATTTAATAGTAATTACCCTGTTTTATTTTATATTGTATTTTAATAAATAATAAATAACTTAGAAAATAGTTAAATTTACTTTACGTACAAGTGAAAATGTTTAACCAAAAGTTTTTATCTGAAATTTTACGTAATATATTGCATTGTTGATTATTAAAATAAATGAAACTCTTTATTGAAAGGTAACTGAATTCTATTTAATTTTTTTTTTCAATTTTTACTTTAGCAATAAATAACTTTCAGTGCAATCATGCACACCTAATACTCTTTCTTTGTCGAAATAAATACGATAAATTACGGTTGAAGAGAATGCCGATTTCTTTGGATCTCTCAGAGATATCCTCGTTCAAGTGTTACAGACTAAAGACTTAAGACTAAAGAAAATGCCTAGACTAGATGGGGTCACACAGTTCTCACTTCGATGGCTCTCCTAGGGAAAGCTTTTCGAACATGGGCATAGTTCTTATTACGGATGGGTCCACTATGATCTCAGCATCGGGATTGAGCGGGAAATCGGGATCTGCGGCAGCCAGATCATTGACAGCTATGTCGTTGGAGAGGTCCACGGGCACAAAGTTCTCCTCGATATCGATCTCGTTGTTCAAGTCGTTTTCAAGGTCCAACTCGTGATCGTGGTTTTGATCTTGATCCTGATCGAATTCAGCCCACTCATCGTTAAAAGTTTCGCTCATTATGACTGGGGTTGTGGCTTCGCCATCTTCATCATCAGAGGATTCGAGTTCTTCGCGCTCCTTCTTCTCCTTCTTCTCCAAGGATTCTTTGTCCTCGTGATCCTGCTCCGAGTGTTCCTCATGCTCCATGTCCTTCTGGACTGATGCCATCATTTCCTGCAGCTTTTCCATCGTTGTTTTTTGATGTTCCGTAAGAGTCTCCACTATATCTTCACTGATATCTGAAGCCTCGGATTCTGAGTCTGCGGGTGAGCTAGTGGCAAGTTTTGTTGTATGACTTGTTGTTGTTGGTGTTGTATACTGTGCATCGTTTTTTTGAGTTTAGTGGTGTGCATTATGTGTGCGTTTGTGCGAAATAAATTAAATAAAAGTTGTAATTAATTTTTAATCGTTGAAAAGGGCCAATCGTTTGAGTTGTGTGTTGGTTAAAGTTAAATTCAGCAGCAGCATGCAAATGTTTGCAGAAATGTTTACAAATTTTAATATTTTAGGGTGTGGTTATGGATGTTGTATATATGTAATTATTTAATAGTCAGGTGTCGTTAAAAAGCAAAGTTTTTCCATTAAGAACCATTTAGACTAATATATTTAAAATAAAGTTGTAATGCTTTGTTTTACTAATTTCCAATATACAATATAAAAAAAAATTAAATGAGTTGAATTTATATTTTTATTAACAGTGCCTTAAACTTACAATAATCTCCAGCTCTATATATGTTGCCTTTGAATCTTCAACTGAGAAAATGTCAAGTCAAACTACCATTTTTATAACATTAATAACATAAGCAGATAATATAGTATTTGAGAAAGAGAGTGAATAAATGAATGAGGAAAAGACTGATTAACAGCAGCTTACCACAGAAGCCGCTCTGCAACGAGTGTGAAAAAGGGACAACGATAGTAACAGAGCTTAGCTTTTGTCACTTAACAGATATTTCTCAAAAGCCCTCTTTCTTAAATTTTTTTCTCTCTACGTTCATTCATTATTTGTGTTCGTTTTACATTGCCTCTTCATCTTCAACTGAGAAAATGTCAAGTCAAACTACCATTTTTATAACATTAATAACATAAGCAGATAATATAGTATTTGAGAAAGAGAGTGAATAAATGAATGAGGAAAAGACTGATTAACAGCAGCTTACCACAGAAGCCGCTCTGCAACGAGTGTGAAAAAGGGACAACGATAGTAACAGAGCTTAGCTTTTGTCACTTAACAGATATTTCTCAAAAGCCCTCTTTCTTAAATTTTTTTCTCTCTACGTTCATTCATTATTTGTGTTCGTTTTACATTGCCTCTCTCATGATTCACCTTCGATTGCTGTTAATCAGCATTTCCCTCTCACTCAGTCTTGTCTTGTGACGTCATATATACAATTCTTCCCCGCCGATTTTTTGCCAATTTCGCTTTACGCTCACAAGTATTTTCTTAGAAATTCATAATATTAATATATATTTTTACACATCTGTCTAATTTTGTTCGTTGTGCTCACTTAGTATACCTTTTTCAGATGATAAATCACAACGGAAAAAATGAATCGAATGTAGTGAGATATCGCTTGCTTACTATAGTTTTTATGCAGATAAACTGACTGAGTCACATTCTGTGATTCTTAGGAATTTCGCGAGAATTCAAAATGATTCAAAAGTGGAATGAACCTCTGTCGTTTGACGGAATGGATAGATACTTAACTTTTAGGGGATTCAATTTTTGTGAATTACTGTCCATTCGAAGCAACAAATGCAACTGTCCCTAACCACAAACTAATCAATTCTGTTGCCAAGTTATAAATTTAAATTGTTTTGTTCGGTTTATTTAAATAATAGAAGGTTTTTAAAATTTAAATTTTAGTTAGGTAAGATAAACACTTATTTTTGACGCACATAAATAGAAAATAACATGCTTATATTGATTCGATAGGTTTTATAGATCTCAGAGATACATATACTTTAAGTATGATATCACATATACTTCGATTTGGAAAAAACTCTTTCGACAGCATAC